TGGAGTCACTGAAGCAGTTGGTGTGAGCTTAAGTGGACTCCATCCAGCCACCTCATTCTCTGCCGTCCCCTTCTTCTTTTGCCATCTGTTCTTCCCAGCATTAGGCTCTTCTCCAGGGAGTCCTTCCTTCTCATTAGGTGGCCAAGGTATTTGAGTTTCATCTTCAGGATCTGGCCTTCTAAAGAGCAGTCAGGGTTGATCTCCCCTAGGACTGACCGGTTTGATTGCCTTGCGGTCCAAGGGACTCGCAGGAGTCTTCTCCAGCACCACAATTCAAAGGCCTCAATTCTTCGGTGCTCAGCCTTCCTTATGGTACAACTTTCACAGCAATACATGGCAACTGGGAAAACCATAGCCTTGACTATACGCACTTTTGTTGGCAGGGTGATGTCTCTGCTTTTTAGTATGCTGTCTAGATTTGCTATAGCTTTCCTCCCCAGGAGCAAGCATCTTTTAATTTCTTGGCTGCAGTCCCCATCTGTGGTGATCTTGGAGCCCAGGATAATAAAATCTGTCACTACCTCCATTTCTTTGTCATCTATTTGCCAGGAAGTGAGAGGACCGGATGCCATAATCTTAGTTTTCTTAATGTTGAGTTTCAAGCCAACTTTGGCACTCTCCTCCTTCACCCGCATCAAGAGGCTCTTTAGTTCCTGTTCACTTTCTGCCATGAGAGTGGCATCATCTGCATATCTGAGGTTGTTGATATTTCTCCCAGCAATCTTAATTCCAATTGGTGATTCGTCTAGCCCCGCCTTTCTCATGATGTGCTCTGCATATAAGTTAAATAGGCAGGGCGACAGTATACAGCCTTGCCGAACTCCTTTCCCAATTTTGAACCAATCAGTGGTTCCGTGTCCAGTTCTCACTGTTGCTTCTTGACCCGCATATAGGTTTCTCAAGAGACAAATAAAATGGTCCGGTACTCCCATCTCTCTAAAAACTTGCCACAATTTGTTACTAATTGTGCACCTGAAGCAAGAGGTATATCAAGTAGCAAGGATCGAACAGATACCGTTTCTTTCATGTTGGCTTAAGGAATGTTAGCAGAAAGTAGGGTATGGCTTGTGAATGTCGCTCAGTAGAAAAATCTGCCAACCAAGTAATGCTTGTCTCACTGCCCTAAGGCAGCCTACTAAAGCTGTTAAGAAAGACTTTCAGGGTGCCCGCTTATATATGCTTAGGCAGAAAAAGAAGTCCTACAACACTGGCTGGAGCATGCCAGGAAATGTAGGACTTTTTTCAAGTATGTTTAGGATGCAATCCTGTACTCGTTTACTTGGGAACTAACTTTAATGTGCAACCATATCCACTTCCTACATTGTAATTATTGAAACTTGCCAGACATGTATATCATTGTGGCTATTATATAGTGGGGTATCCTTCTCCAACATGATGCATGACAAATGTTTTGGCCCTCAGCATGACCATAAGCCAGGCTGGCTGGAGCTGATGGGAGCTGAAGTCTGAAATATCTGGATGGTAACAAGTTGGAGACAGCTGTAATAAAGTATTCTGTTTATACCTAAAATTGGCAAAGTTCAACTTACAGCTTTTCTAACTAAAGAAAAACCATATCTGCTGAAATATATTGAACCCCTATCTACTGAAACATACCAAACTTCTTTTGAGGTACTGTTATCTCAGCTCTTAATTCCAGAAATATCAGCCTGTCCAAACTTTAAAAAAAAAAGCAACAGGAAAAAAAAACCTTAAAACATGGTAGTGTCAAGTGTTGGTAAAAAGAGATGAGTTCTTTGTTTCTTTTGCTATTTTGTCATTGTACAAGAAGTAAATGTCATGTAGCATAGTGACTCTTTGTCTTTCAGGTGCGTGAAGTTACAAGAAAAATTATTGAGGTGTCCAATGAGGATGTTACTGAAGACGAGCTACATTCTGAAATCATCATTGTGTGGGGTCAGTACATAGATCATGACCTCGCCTTTACCCCTCAGAGTGGGAACCGACTTTCCTTTCAGGGAGAGGTAAACTGCCAACTAACATGTGAAAACCAAGATCCATGTTTTCCAATACAGGTATGATGTAAGCATCTTTTTAGCTTACTTTAAGGAAGGCTGAACATTGAAGAAGTCAGTGTTAATATCTGTGCACTTCTGAAAGTGCCAAAATAAGAGCACTTGGTATGTTTGGGGCTTGCTCACAAATCATTTACTATGAAACATGTTTACCAATTCGTGTTCCTGCTGCCAACATGGACAGAGCCATCATCTTGCACTGCTGATTAGGAGGGTACAAGAATTTTTTTTTAAGTTTGGCAAATAGCTGAACATTCCCTGCTCACAACCCCAAACAAAACCCCTTTTTGGGGGGTGGGCAGGGAACTTTACACATTCTTGAGCATTCAGCTACATTTGCAAATGCATCCTTTTGAGAAAATCTGCTCTTTACCAAAAAGACACACTTTCAGCCTTTGGTCAGTGATGAAAATGTGCACATTTCTGCACTTACCTTTAAAATGTACATTTTTTCCCATTTGGAAAAAGGCACTTTTTCTGTTTGAAAAAGAAACAAAAGGTACTTGAGTTCAGCAAGGAGAATGAGCCGAACCAAGCAATGAGGCAAAAAACAGACAACCCTGACAAGTTCAAATGACGCTGGTTCTTTCACCACTAGATTGTTGCCACCCCTGCCCTATATACAGTTGAATAACAATTAGATTTGGATCAATCATCTAATTGATGGAAAGATGTCTAACCTGGGTTGTCCAGTCTGAAGAGCTGACTTCCCAACGATAAACTGACAAAATATTTATTTTTTTGAGGACTGTCTGGAACAAACTGGGAAATGGTATAGAGTTGGGAATAGAAAATCCTACAAACATTTAGATAGGAAAAGGCCTGTCTGCAAATTCTGCATTGCTCCCTGTCTATATGTGGATAAGATCGTGCCTTCATGTAAGCAGCCCTGCCCCCTCAACTCACCAGTTCCATTTTGCAAGGATAATTTGTTAGGAAAGCATCTAGAGAATAGAGAAGAAAGTGAATTGCATGGACCTTGCATGTTGTTTTCTCATAGCAGACATGGAATTTGGTACAAGTCCTCTTCTAGGGCTAGGAGTACAGCCAAATTAAGAAACTTAATGCAATTGATACCATATGATATTTTAAAAATTGGGTGCAGTCCATTAGTCACTGATGCTGCAAGCTTCCATTCACTTCCAAAGGGCTTGTATTAAAGCTGCAAACACTACCAGTAGAATCAAAGAGAAGTTACATAATAGCCATAATAGTCTCAAATCCCTACTGCTGTCAAGCTGCGTAGAAGCATGATGACCCAAGACTTCATAACTTTAGGAAGCTTTATACTGTAATCTAATTAGAGACCTTCAGCTGTTGGGTGGTACGGAAGTTAAATAATAGCATATAGTGGAACAGTCATTAGATGAGGGCTGCAAAAAGCAGATGGCTCACATATAGGGTGACCATGTCAGCATTCATGGGCTATTTTATACTAAGTCGCAATTCCAACTGCTACTTAATATAGATATCTTAAAAAATAAACATTTTGGTTGCTAGTTAATATAAACAGTGATTGAGCAGCTTTTCCTGTTTTTGTTTTCATGTATTAAGTAGTGATTTCCCACAATTCTGCTTTGCTGTTCGTTGAATTACTGTGGGCTCTGTATCACCCTGCCTGATTTTTGGGAACCCCCCACCACTAACAGGACCTCAGGACTCTCCACCTATAATTTTCAGATGGCCAGAGGGCCTGCTGTGGGAAGGAGGGGGTAGAGAATTCACAAAAGTCCCCCCAGATCAGGGAAGATTGTCTCATCCTGTAACTTCCACACATCCTGATTGCTCTGTTAATTTCAAGAAATGTAGCAGATTATCCCTCCATTGAAATGAATAAGTTGCCTTGCAGTTCGAGTTCCATGTACACCCTGGAATTCCATCTGCAAGGTCTGCCTTGCAAGGCATGGATGGATTGTAAATGCTCTGCTTCGTTCTATGGCAAGATCAAATATTTCAAATCCCATTTCAAAAGAATTAGATAAAGATTGAAGAACTTCTGTTACATAAAATGTTATAAATAATAACGTCACGATCCAGGGAAAATATATAAAAAACTCAATACCGCAACAAAGGGCATGTTTTTCTCAGGGCCGTCTTAACGCATGGGCCTGATGGGCACTTGCCCGTGGGCCCCATACTAATCTGTGTATGTTAACTCTTGGAAAATTGGTAAACTTCCAAAATTAGCAGTAGTTGTAGTTGTCGTAGGGGCCCCAGTACACTGCTTTGCCAAGGGCCCATCATGCTGTTAAGACAGCCCTGGTTTTTCTAGGATGGAAAACTGAACTAACAAAATATCCTCATTAAAAATCTATTTAAAAATCAACGTTTTCCCTTTAGAATTATGTAAAAACTCTGATCCTCAACGAATTGGCTAAAGAATGAAAATGTCAGGTGTTACCACCCACAGCTTGTATCCTGCACTCATCCTGTGCAAAGATAACAATGCCATGTGTCCAGAAGAGATAACTCATTGTGTGCCACATGTCCAATGGAAGTGTCAATAATTTTTTTGAATGCGGGGAGGGATTGTAGTTCTCCCCTGCTTAAGATTTTGGCAACAACTGAACAGGCTCCCTGCACCAATTTTGTGTTTTGCAGGAGCTACATGTGGCAGTTCTATCATGACTGCAATCCACATATGACTGTTGAAAGAGAAATAGTGCATGCTAGGAATGCATGAATTGACAGTCTTGATCTCACTGGGATTGTCCATTTTTTCAGGTCAACCTCATGTTTGGATGCATGTACTCATTTACTAAAGTTTGTTTGTGTGCATTCTAGAAATGTATATGTATGTGTGTATATGTGGTGCACATGGTGGGCATGTCGTGAGTGGAGCTGGCTGGTGCCAGAGGTCAGACTAGATGGCCCGGGAGACCCCTTCTGACTCACTCTGTTTCTATGTTTCTATGTATGTTTATTGCTTCATTTTGTAGCTGTAGTTTTTACATGCCATCAAATCATCTCTGACTTATCGTGACCCTGTGAATGCCTTCCAAACTGTTCTGTCCTTCACAACCTTGCTCAGCTCTTGTAAACTCACAACTGCGGATTCCTTTATGGAATTGATCTACATCATAGCTAGTCTTTCTCTTCTTCTGTCTTCAGCTTTCCCTAACAGTATTATCTTCTCCAGTGAATCTTCTCATGATGTTCCCAAAACACAACAACTTCAATTTTGTCAAGTTTATTTCTGGGGAAAGTTCTGGCTTAATTTGATCTAGGACCCACTTGTTCATCCTTCTCTTAAGTCCATGGGTTTGGAAGCCCCATGTTTCAAAAGCTGTATCCATTCAGAACAAGGCCATACTGGGATACAGGTATATACAGTCTAACTTGGTAAAATCACTTTTTGCTAGATAACTTAAAGAAATTTTCATTAATACTTTTCACATTCGGAGCAGTATTGGGAAGAATTTCAGTAGCTGTGTCTGGTTTTATATACCAGCTTGTGAAATCAGAGTCACATGACACCACTGTGACCACCATCAAATGCACTGCAGTAAAAATTCTCAAATAAAAACACTCAGAATGTAAATACAAGTATAGACTTCAGAAGCTATATATAGCTCTGATTTAAAATGCTAAGACATTTAACAGCCTAATCAACACATCAGGACAAGTCATTTTTAAAGAATTATAGCACTAAAAGGATTCTCTACCCCTTTGAACAAGTTATGTTTAAAGTTTGTTTTTTCAACCTTCATTCCCTTGCATCAGTTTCTTGAGGATTGAGAGTAAGAAAATATCCCTCTGAGCAATGGATAGCTTTTCTTAAAACAGAAGAAACCTCTTGAGTGTGTTAATTACAATTCAGAGATGTATTGTAATTGCTGGTAGCTATTTGATGGTCTCTGCAGTAATTAATTTTTAAAAGTCAGCATTGTAATTATATTTTATTTAAAATAGCCCTGGTGATAAATATAATTAAATAGCTGGAAATATTTTTTCCAATGATTAAGAATGAAACATCCTATGAATATTCTATCTCTAATTTTAAATAGAAGTATTCATCCTTAACTATTTGACATGCAGTGCAACTCTGTTTTCAGATGGGACATTTTCTGTTAGTATTTCATAACTGCTATTCCTTTGGATATCATATACTGGAGACACATATCATAAGAGAGCTGTTGCTTTCTTGCCAAACTTCTGGTCTCTCCAGACGCACTTGGCAAGTTGGCCACTATGTGAGCCAGATCGCTGCACTTTACCCCATTCAGTGATTTAGGATCCAATGGATATTTAGGCAGAAACTCCTACAACTGCCAATATGCCCCACACAGCTTGACCTACTAAAGGGATGCTGGGAGTTGTAGGAGCCTTCTGTCTAAACCTGCATAAGACTGTGCCCTTAATATCTGAAGATATTTTCAGGATCTAAAGACAGACAACAAGTTCCACATCTAAGTTACACACACTCTCCTGAATGTCTGTAAAATTGTCCCCTAACACACATGTACAGTTGTGCTCACAAAGGGTTCCCCCTGCAGAAACCCAGTTGTATGGACAAGGCAATCTCAGTTGTGTGCCCAGAGCTCTCCATGCATACCATTTAATATGCAGGATGGGGGAATGTGTTTAGATGCTCAGGCAAATCAATGTTGCTTGGAAGTAAAGTCAGATACTTATCCTCTTCATGTGTATTCAGTATCCACAGGCGCTGGATGGGTGATAAGGGTTTTTATCAGATCCAGCAGGGCTCTTACGTGCTTAATGAATGAAAATGAAGTGCTAGCAGTGCTGTAGTGTTTTTGGAGGGGAACACTGATGAGGGTTAGAGATTATAAGACAGCACATCAGATCTCTCTAAGGACTGGTTTTGTCATCCCCAGACAAAATAATGTGATAAAGAGTCTGCATAGATGTCCATGGGTCAAACTTGATGCCACATATGCTGCTGTGATTGAAACTCCTCTTTTTATTTCTTAAAAAGCAGCTGTGGGGATTAGATGGGAGGGAAAAAGTCAGCAATACTTTGAAGCACAATATGTGGGCTGCTTCCACATTTATTAATATAATTTTATATCCAGAATAGAATTAATATTTCTGGTTCCATCAATGCAACATTTAGTTCTGAGATTGTAGGCAGCTTTCTTCAAAAAGTTTCTTTGAATTTGCTGCATATTTATCACCTATAATGTCATTTTCATAAACAATTGTTTGCATAGCTTTAGGACTGCAGAAATCATACATCAATGAGCAACCACCATATTCTAGAAAATGCTGCTTTAAGGCTACAAAATCTAGGATATAAAGTGAATGAACATGTATGTTCAAGAGTGACTAAGGGCACTCACTGGGGCTGGGAATTTGCCAGTTCTAAACATTGCATTACTGGTAATGGTAATGATGGTAGCGCGATAGGAACTTAGCACTTGCAAGCCCAGCCTTAGAAATAGCCACTGCCAGAATGGGGCAAATCAGCAGAGCTCCATCCCACAGTCTCTGCTGACTTGTCCCATGCTGTAAGCAGTCGTTTTGAGTAGTTTCTGCTTAGGCTAGCATCCTGTTGCACCCGTGTTCATTCCTGCTACCACAGCGGCACATTGGCTACTACCCTCTATTTTCTGTATTCTGAACTCCACAAAATCCCATAACACATTTCATTCTCATGCAAAAGCAAATGAGCAAAACTTCCAGATTCTGAATAAAGCAGATTGCAAAAGCACTAAGGAAACTTACAGGGCAGGGAACAAATCCAGGAGTTGAATTGTCCAGTGGATTTCTACAGGATCAGCAACGTAGCATTGAATATGGAACTTTTCCTGCAGGCATTGCCCATTCATTCCACCCACTGTTCAGCATTTCTGGTTATGCTCAGAAGGAATGAAAGCAGAATTACAGGAAGCACATGTCAATACATTGAATGGTTTCTTTTGCATGGAGAGCACATAATTCTTGTCTTTGATCTTCCTCTGCAAGGCTCCATTAAGATTAGTCTCATCAAAGGATAAGACAATGACTTGTTCATACACAGTGTGACAGAACAGAAATGACTATATTCCCAGTTGTAAAGTGTGACAAACCTTTCTTGCCAACGTAGGCTCTTGCCTCTTGGGGAAACTGGGTCTTAGTAAACATGATTTTTGTGGGACATTCACTGGTGGCCACATCAAGCCAGGGACCACTTGGAGTCACATCATTTACACCAAAACAAAAATAATACGCCACCCTTAGTACTGACTTTCCTTAGGATCTCAGCAGGGGAGGAAGGAGTGAAATTCCTCTTCCTGCCCTCTGTGACTCCAATAATTCATGAGATAGTTGCTCGCTTTGTGAAAGCAGGCAGATAAGGGAACAGAAGTAGGAAAGTTAGAAAGCTGTAGATTATTACTCATTATTGATTCTTTGACTGGGTTCAGCCAGTTAATACCTTTTCCCCATGCCATGGCCATGCGTCCCCAGCTTACTCCATGCAAGCAGATTCCATTGTGCTTTTTTCACAATATACTATAAACAACTATGTGTGGCAAGTTGCTGTGGCCATGCTGAGCTTTCCCTTAGGCATGGGGGCGTGCTAAGAAAATAGCTTCATGTGAAGAGTTTTCTTTAGCCCTGGAGTAAAATGTTAAGCATTGCAACTGAAATAGATGGGTCATGTTTGATGCCACTTAAAAGACAGCATAGGGGAATCCTCATTTGCACATTCAGCTCTTGGCAGAGCACTTCTCATCACATCAAAAAGAAAATAAAGAGACTTCATTATGCAGCTCCACCAGTCCTTTGGCATTCATTACTGCTACACCCTCTGCAGGAATATGGAATGATGTGGAGTCAAACTGCAGAGGCAATTCGCCAGAAGATGCATACCATGCAAACTCTCATGCCACTCAGGGTGTGCTAGATACTCTTCTCTTCTCTTCTCTTCTCTTCTCTTCTCTTCTCTTCTCTTCTCTTCTCTTCTCTTCTTTCTTTCTTTCTTTCTTTCTTTCTTTCTTTCTTTCTTTCTTTCCGGCCCATTATATACTTCTGTGCCTAGTGATTTCTCCCCGTTCCATGGCTTAAATGGCTATCTAAAAACAGCAGAAGATTAAATATAAATGGTGATATCATGTACATTTAGTCTTAAAATGGAAGCCATGACAGGAATTATCATTCCTAGGCACTTCCTGCTCAGATAAATTTGCAACCTAAATGTTGTCAGTGCTGGGAATAAGAACTTAAGCAGAGCTGCGCTGGTTCAAAAAAGGGTCCATCTAGTCCAGTGTTCAATTCACCTGGTGGCCAACTGGCTACCTTTGGGAATCATAAGCAGCTCATGCAGGCAACCACATCCTCCCAACCCTGTTCTCCAGCCACCTGCTGTAAATGGCCCTATTGCTTCTGGTCCTGGAATGATAGGAGACAAACCTTTGTGGAAAATGAAAGTGATATCAGTTCTTGGGGACGAGCAAGCAGAGTTGCATATGCTCAGGCTTCATTTGAGGAAAGGGTGGTAGAATTTGACCTCAAGATTGCCCTTACTCCTTGTCAACTGAAAGGGCAAAGAAGACTTGCCAAAGTAAAAAAATGAATAGAGGGAACAAACACTAGTTCAGGAGAAACTGAAGCAAAGAAAACACTTGATTACACAAAAGAGGCAATAAAGTCCACAATTAACCAGTGAAATATTCATTGTCAAAATAAAGGATCACTCCTTGGAACTGTTCCCACTGAAATAATGAGCGAAGAAGTGGGAGCATTTATTAATCAAAGAAGTTTTAATCAGCTTAGAAGATAAGCAAGTATTTAACATAATAGCCTACTTGATAACATTCCCTACAGTAATGAGTTTTCAGTGCTGTTTTGAGGGGCGGGAGCCGATGGTCTACTGAATAAATGTATAAAAAATGCCATTAAGACACAGATTTTAAAGTTCCATTACAAGTATCCTTCAGCCTTCATCATCTCATTTAAACCTCTAATTTGCTTTCTGTGCCTCTGGCAATTCTCCTATTCAGGATGTTTCTTCCACTTTTTTTTCCACCTGCATCAATGTAAATTTATGTCTTTTTGTTTTTAAACAGAACAAAGAAGGGAACTGATGATAATATATTTATGGTGCTTCCAGGACTGATTGCTAGAAGCTTTCTTCATATAATTACTTTAGCATCTTTATTGAAAAGAACCTGATCCTTAAAAAAACATTTTTGAAAGGCAGAACAATGTCCACTTTTTAAAGTCTGGATATTCTGCAAGGAGTTCTCTTTGGGGATAGTTCTGGTAGGCGACCCACGATTTTCTGTTCCATCAGCAAATGTCCTTAACTGTCACACATACTTGCCTAAGTAAATGTTTTGTATACCTGCAGAAATTACTACATTGTAATGTTTCAGTAGATTACATGAACCCTAACAATTTCTATTTCCATGATATTTGGGGGGGGGGATTCACATAACATCGTAACCCCTCCCCTCCCTTCAAATGTCTTAATTCCTACAGTCATAAAATAAAGTTCACAGCAAATGAATCCTATGAAAGCTATGGGAACTTTCCCAATACCCTGAACCAAATGAAAGACAAACAAGTGGGCTTTATATCAGATCAAACCAGAACTTTCCCTGAAAGCAAGAACAGGCAAAACTGGGGATGTGATACTTAGGGCACATCATGAGAAGATGAGACTCCATGGAGAAGACAATCATGCCAGGGAAAGTCAAAGGCAGAAGAAAAAGAAGGCCAAGTATGAGATGGATCAGTTCCATCAAGGAAGGAAGTCACAGCTTTGAGTTAATTATGCCCTTTCTTCCCATGAGCAGGGCTGTCAAGGGCAGGACATTTTAGAGGGCATCCATGCATAGGATTGCCATAAGTTGGAGATGGCTTGACAGTATGTAGCAACAAACATAGTATTAATTAATACTTATCTGGAACCTGGCATATTTTCCATGGCATATTCTCAAAATCAAGAAAAAGAATTTAAAAATGGAACTCACTGGGACCAGCAAAAACAGTTCTGTAACCTACCTATACATCATCAGTAAAAACAGATACATTTTCCATTCATGTCAAAGAATTCTGTTCAGATCTTTCATGCAGCTCTATATTCCTGGGATCCTTGTATATTGTTTGCTTCATGCCATACGAAGATCCATTGTAACAAAAAACGTACACTCAAACTGGGTACACTGTGCAGCTGGAATGGACGAAAGATAGATCTGGATCTGTAGCTTACTGGATGATTTGCATTAGATGAGAAGGGGATAATTTGCAAGACCTCAACAGTGACACTTAACAAAGAACCTTTGTTCTAGCTAAATTGTGTCATTAGAATTCTGTGCATGTTCTCTGTGCCAAGTAACAAGGGGAACGCTTTGATTTGTGCACAAGTACCTGCACCCTTAATAAATGATATAGTGTGTGTATATATTGGCTTGAATCCAGATCTGTGCCAAGTTATTTTGGTAACCTCAAGAATTCAGCCACCTGTGCTTTAACAAGGTAGCATCAAAATGCTTCAAACATGTAATAGCAGAGGAGATTTATGGAATTCCATCAAACAGTACATGGCAGTTTTGTACATATTGTACTATTAAAATTAGCAAATCCACTCCATCTATGGAGCACTGCATATGTATTTTGCTCCTGAAGATGTTAATTTCATCCACAGGTTAATGCCAAGGATACATTCTCCACTAGCATGGACTGCATGCCTTTTTACCGTTCCTCTCCTGCATGCACCACTGGTCACCAGGGAGTTCTCTTAGGAAACCTATCAGTCTTAACTCCAAGGCAACAGATTAACAGTCTTACCTCCTTCCTTGATGCATCTACTGTTTATGGCAGCACAACTACAGCAGAGCATAAACTGAGGAATCTGACAAGCAAAGAAGGCCTCCTGAGAACAAACATGCACTATTTTGACAATGGCCGTGAATACCTTCCTTTTGTTGACAAAGTGCCTTCTCCTTGTGCTCAGGACCCCAAAGCTGATAAAGCAGAAAGGATTGAATGCTTTACGGCAGGGGACACCAGGTCAAGCGAAGTCATTTCGTTGGCAGCCTTACATACGCTGTGGTTGCGAGAGCATAATCGGCTGGCAAGAGCACTGAAGAGGCTTAATCCACACTGGAGTTCTGAATCTGTCTATCAAGAGGCTCGCAAAATTGTTGGCGCTCTGCATCAGGTAGGCTGTCACTTCCTAGCATGTTATTGAGCATCTCACCTTTTCCTTTCAGTAGTACAACTTTTTTCAGGTAACCAGGCCTGTGGCTTGAAGGGAGCAGCAGTGGTTGCGCTGCCTGTCCCAGCCCTCAACTCACAGGTGCTCAGTTGGCTATGTGCGGAGCATGCAGATGTGATCAGTGAATGCTAAATGAAACAACGTGTATATGAGGTCAAGAGGCTGGGGCCAAGGCCAAGAGGCGGGTCATATCCCACTCCTTCCCTGGGCGACAGGGGCAAGCAACCCTTTTTGGCCACGGACATATCAGGCAACTGAAGGAACTGAGCACCATCTTGAAATGGCTGCTGTGAGAAGTAGAGCAAAGGAACAGTAACCTGCCGAAAAGACTGAGTTGGAGGAGTGGTGGAGTCTCAGCATCAGCATACAAAACAACTCCTTGGAAACCACAGTTCTCAGCACCTATTTCTCAGCAATCCCAGTTGTCAGATAGGGAATGTGTTAAGAGAGGGCTAGAGTACCTTAGCAGGCATTAGGAAAGAGGCATCAGGAGCACACTGGTACATGGAGGTACCATGTGGTTTACCTGTCCTCAGTGAGCATGCACTTTACATGCAAGGACTTACAATTTGTATTAATCTTACCAGATTTTAAAGAATGACTCATGATATCACTAATTTTCAGCAGGAGACTCTTGACTGAATCAGGACTAGGTCTGGGCCCACTGAAATCAATGGGAGAAGTAAGTCATGACTAATTTAAGTTCCACTGATTTCAATGCGTCTGCTCCAAGTATAACTAAATTTGGATCCAGACATCTATTCTCTATGTCAGATTTTGGTACAACTTTTCCTGTCCTGAATCAGCTTGATTTTTAGCATTCACTTGTCCTTTTCAAACTATGCAGTCTGCATATAAGGTTGGAAACAAGATTGCACCTGTCCCAGCCTCCATGAACTCATGAGCACTGGGCTTAAAGTATCCGTGCATATACAACCTGATTGCACAGAAGCTGTATCCATGCAACCTGAAACCATTCCCCCTTTATGCATTTAGCATAATGGTTTCTGACCATTTGAAGCCAAAAATGTTCATAGCTCGAGTCTAGATTTTCATTTTCCATTATTCCCCTGGCATTTCCTATTTTCTCATTCAGCCATTGCATGCATTTTATTTTGGTAAATATCTCTTTGTAGTTTCACTGCACTGTTCTTTTTGGGCACAGTTTGCTAAATTGCATTTTGTACGCAAATAACTACCCTCCTTAAAATACTTTTGAGATTAATGATGCACAAACTCTCTCCCTGTAGAGGGCTTTAACTACATGAAAGAAACTCTTCTGGGAAATAAAATAGGGAAAAGCACAACAATTGATTACATGGAGCATGATCCACATACACAACATTTTCACTGCCTTTATATAGAGGAATCCTGTTTTTTTCCTTTCCAGGTGCCCATATGTGCCTGAAATTTGAGTAACATGCAAAGGATGTTTTTTATGCTTTAGAGCAGGGGCTGATAGAAGGTAATTCTGGATCTCCTGGTAGAAGATCCAGCAGATTAGCAAGACTTTCTGGCTTCAGATTCTTTAACAATAGTATCATGTAAATGACTCCACAACCTAACTGCCACCCCTAATTGTACTGCTAATGCAAGAAAGCTTGGGGTAACAGAAGTGGATTTTTGTGTGGGAGGACTGGGGGCTCCATTCAGTTTCAGTAGTTAGAACAAATTCCTCAATTAAAAATGCTTTAATGCTTTGACCTGGTTCCCATGTTCACTTTGGCTTAAACAAATCATGACAAGTTGTTTAAACCACAGCACATATCTAGTATGTTCTGGGTGCAATTTGATCACTGTCTGGACACAGCTTGCCATGGCATCAGAACTTGTGCACTGTGGCTTATTCAAGGGTTAAATAACTCTCAGGTATCCTAACAATATGACAAACCATACACATTCAAATTGTCAAATTGTTCAAAGTGGTGATCATGTGAATCAGTCCTAACTAGGTTTCATTTATAGTCATTGGTTGATGGACATTAGCGGTCTAGTTAAAATCAAAGTCAATCTCATGCGCCTGACATCTTTCCGTTCTTATTATAGACTGCCATTTAACACATGCATCTTACATCTATCAAGGCTACAAAGAAACTTGCACGTTTCTGACCTGCATATACATGCAGTATCCAAGATTATCCTAATTTAAGATCCATTCATCCCAGTGGGTATATTCGAAGTAGAACAAGTGTGACTCAGTAAATCAATAAAGGGCAAATTGATTCTCAAATAAAATTTTCCATGTTGGCCACAGTATTCAATTCTTGATAATATTTCGTTATATATTGATATCATTACTACACAGAGTTATTTAACGCAAAAATGTGCAATATATTTTAATTAGCAAACCAGAATGTTAATAGGTCCATTTTTTCCCTTTTCAGCAATGTTTGCATATTTCTTGTTCCTCAGTCAGTGGATGGGATGAATTTCTGTGTATTTCACTAGGAGTTCTGTGATGGCCAGGTCAGCTACAATTCCCACCTTTCCTGATTTGTAGTTAGCCATTAACCCCAGCAAAAATATGAGATTCAATATTTATTTATTTACAATACTTTTACCCCATCCTTAACGTCCAAGGATGGCTTACAACATAAATAAAACCTAACGATGAATAAACATGACAAATACAATAACATAGCAAGCATAATAAAATGTGACTGAGCATGACCATTAAAACTTAGTTAAAATATTTAAGTATTAAAATGCTGGGTGAATAAAAAGCTTTTTACCTGGTGCCGAAAGCAATATAACATTGGTGCCAGGCGAACCTCTCTGGGGAGCACATACCAATAGTCTTTTGTATGTTTTTCATAGTACATTGTTATGGGTGCTTACCCATATTGATCCAATTGAATTAATTCATTGCTCAGGTGGATTGCTGCTACAATTCTTCAAAAGAAATATGATACCTATATTTAGACTTGTCCTAGGTGACATTTCCAAATCAAGCGGGGCAGGAAACAATCCTATAGAGAAACTGCAGGGTTGTTTTGGCCTGGTCTACACAGGTATCAGAACAAGGTGGTACAGAAGAACAAAGGAATGCTCATACTGGTTCAGATAACTAGCCCAGCCTTCCATTCACACCATGGCCAAGCAGCTACCCATGGAAAGTCCACAAGCAGGACAGGAGTGCAACTGCACCCACCCACGTTCCCCCACAGCATAGGCCTGCTGTCCACTGGAGGCAGTGTAGAGCCCTCCAGACTAGTAGCTATTCATAGTTTTACCCTCCACAATTTAATCCAATCTTCTAAAGTCATCTAGAATGGTGTCCACCTCTATGGTTGGTGGAAGTGAATTCCATAGTTTAGCTATGTGCTGAATCCTGCATGTAGCTTGAATGACCAGCATGAAGCTGATTCAGGGGAAGGACAGGACAGATAATCTCAATCTTAATTCACTAGCAGAGAGGACTTCAAACTGCAAGGAAGACATATATTGGCTTCAAGGGTGGGGAACCTGTAGCCTTCCAAGACATTGCTGGATTGCAGCTCCCCATGTGACTTATGCCATGGTAGCTGAGACTGATGGGAATCAGTGGTCCAAAACATCTGCTGTTTCATTTGGAATCTACATGGAAAGCTCCTTGCAAATAACTCCCCTCCCCAGCATTTTAGAGAAAAAGGCTCTAGCTCAGCTCAATTCTAGTTGTTACAGGTTTTCCTTACTTCCACAGATGAATTGCTTTTCTTATAGAGGGGAACATTTGCCTATGTGGCTTGTACTTTCAAGTCTGAAGCAGTAGTCCATTCCGTCACCTCACTCTAACAATTCATTTTGGGGTATTTATAGACGAGGCCTTCTGCATAGTGGGTACAGGAAGAGGTCAATAAAAGTAAAGTAGTGATTGAATTGTATGAATGCAGTTTCATACAGCTTGTAGATTCCCATGGCTACAGCATCATGAGAAGGAAACAACACCAAGGGGCAAAAGACATTTTGAAAAAAATGGGACAGATCTATTGGCTCCCTTTGCTAAGAGTTATTGGTGCAAAGGAGATGTTCAGTATCAAGTTGCCTCATCCAATCATGGCACGCAAGGACATCAGGCAGGCATTTGTGTCTTCCCAAGCACCAGCTTCTATTTTCCAAGGGGACCTAAGGTCATATTTTTGAACCCTGGTTCATGTCCCCTAATGCAAATAGTGCATATCTCCTGTTCATGTCCACAGATGCAGAATATAGCCATTGTCCTAAAGTGGAATGCAACCCTTAAGGAAGATACAGCTCCAGTGAAAATATTTTCTGCGTGATCTCTTAACCTAAATTATTCTCTTTGTGAGGCAGCATACATTTCTGTGTATTTTCTCCCTTTTATTCTTTCTTTTATTGGTAGCTAGGATACCTTTAAAATGCATACTTCATTTAATCTTAATAAAGGTCTCTTAACCAGACTGAGCATTTATCTTCCTTAGCCTCCTCATATACACTATGCAAGTCTCTCTGTCTAAAATGTGCTGTTTACTTTATAATAATTGCTTGGTGAGGCTCAGAACGGCTTTTTGGCACTAGTTAGCAGAGAACAAGTCTGGAAGGAGTGGGGAAAACATGCATACCAGGCTTCTGGGCAGTCAAATGTGAGTGGCTTCGAATCAGACATTTCATGCCCTTAGACAAAATAATTTCCAAAAGGCATTTTCTGTGTATGACTCTGGGCTACCCATCATCTGTCTGAGTATCACAGATTAATGAGATCTGCCTGTGGCACATTAGAAATGATTTGGAGTGCATCTAGTCAGTTCAGGGACACATATTCCATCTATATATGCAACACTTGGCCACTTAGATTATAGAATATTACAGCTAAAGCATCTGCAGCCTCTAGAGTTGAGCTTGCCCAAGCATTTCCACTCTAAAAATTCTTTCCAAGCAAGTACGACCTTGGAAAAAAGTCTCTCAGGAAACTGAAAATGTAAAAAGCAAAAGGGGAAAAGAAT